ACCCTTACACACTGGACCTTTAAAAATAATCTAAATTATGAATCCATTATCAACATCCTTCAGTCAGAGCTGAAAAAAATCAGTCTATTAATTGATTTGTCAATCGACAGTGAATTACTCGACAACAACTCTGATAATTACCATTATTAAACCAATCAGTGATGGCATATATTCTCTGGTTATGAGGACTTTCTGCTTTTCCCCTCATTAATTATATAAAATGTGTTATAAACAAATATATTTCAGTTTTAGACTTATTCAAACAAGACATCTGAATATGACATCTATAACTGTTAGTAGCAGCCCTCCATTATTCAGTTAAGTGATTCAGATGTGATGCACGGCAGAGAATTCATCTGAAATCTTAAAAAGATGTTGTTTTCAGAGGGAGGTTGGATGTTACAGGGTTCATCTATTAAATGTCAAGAAATAGGGCAAAGTGGCGTCTTTGAGATGCTCATCCCGTCTGAGCAGCAGTCAAAAAGATTCTCCATTTTCATCAACACAAAACACAGAAAAGCAACAAACCCTCCAATCTGAGAGGCTGCAAACAGAATATTCAACATTTCATCGATTTGTTTTCATGCCGTCGGACCAATTGATTCCTCGTGTAATTGTTTCTGTGCTGAAACAGAAACAAAGGCGTTTGTCTGATGCTGTGTCTCGTCCTGCCGGCTCACCAGCGCTGCTTGTAGCTCAGCTGAGAGACGAGGATGCTGCTCTCATGCTTGATTGCCTCTGTATCTCTGACCTATTTTCATTCCCTCTCTGTGTTCTCGCCCAGCCTCCAGCAGCCTCCAGCAGCCTCCAGCAGCCTCCAGCAGCCACAGACTGCCTCTACCTTTCTGTTCTGTGGAGAGACCGAAGGTGGAGCCCGTTTCCATTTTACCCTCCATGTCTAAAAGCACCGGAGGGGAAACATCTTGCAGGGCCGGCCTGCACGCGGGCCCCTCCTCAGCACCCCTCCCGTTCAGTATCTGCGGTTCCCAGCAGTCACGTATATTTACTGTCTTTGCTTTCATACTTCCAGGATGTTAACCACACCCTGCTACCTCTCCACACATCCTCCTTTCAGCGTCTTAAAACAAGACGTTACATAATCAGTGCTTGACTTTCACTTCCAGTTTGCAGAGGGAGAAAAAGACACCTTCAGAACATGAGGAATTCTCCTGCTGTTGTCATGGTGCCGAGAGTAAAGTCATCTCCAGCTGCTGCATGTTTCAATATGTACACAAGACCCGGAGCTACCACCTGACACACACACGCACACACACACACACACACACACACACACACACGCACTCGTCTACTGGTGAAATGAACCAATCCGCCATCAGCATGGTGCCAATTAACTGCATACAAGAATGCGGTTTAAAGCCTGCTGTGGCTTTTCTTCTTCTCTTTAACGAGACGACGCAATCGGAAAGACGTCTGAGCGTCTTCTTTTGGCAGACGTTTACAACTCTGTCAGGCTTATCTTGTTTTTTGCCTCCTGTGCACCTGAATGAACGCACACACGTCAGAAGAAGAAGAATGAAAACAATTACAATATATTTTATGTTTGATTATCCAAAAAATGAGTCATTAATCAAGAGGGAGCAGATTAGCTAATGATTATTCTCATTATCACTCATCATTTGGCAATAAAATGCCCAAAACTCAAGGCGATGTCTTCAAATTTGTTCAAAACCTAAATATATTCTAATGTAAACTCATACAAAAACATATAAAAGCAGCTAATCTTTACATTGTAGTGGAATATTTGGCATTTTTTTCTTACAAATAACTGAAGAAAAAAGGAACTGTTCCAGATGAATTTTCTGTCAGTTGACTAACCAATAATTAGACTAATATCTTTAGGTATAAATGTAGATACCCGAGCCTGTATAACTTATATAAAAGCTCCGACTGTACAGAAGTAATTTCAGTGATGTCGTTGGGTTTGCCAGCCTAAGCTCCTCAGGCTGAAGCTGGCTGCATGAGGTCACCTTTAGACATGAGGCAGCGGCCCGTCAGTCTTTGCTAAATGGAGCACTTGAGTGTGGATTCATTTCATAACGCCTGACGCTGGAGGACACGTCACTGACGCCGATGACTCCATGAAGTCAGCGGCCATGTTCTGAGGACTGATTGTTTTAATGTGAACCTGCATCTTTGTTGTGGACTGAAGTCCTGGACTCGTGTCCATCGTAGTCTCTGGTGTTTTCAAAGTCCTCTGACCTTTATTAAGATGGAGACAGGTGTCCAGTGTCTGACTGAAGACATACTGGAAACTAAAAACTGGAGTATTTATAATAACATCAGACCACTAATAAGTATAGTTTAAAATTAAAACTTAAGGGCCAGGATCACATTTTTGTCAAAACTCCACCAATTCTACACGTGAAGTTCAGTTTCTTCATCATGATGGCGAGGAAGGGTTTCTGCTTCCTGGTCGACAGAATACCCGATTCGTTAAGCTCCGACTCAAACGTATGCGTTATTCAAATCTATTTCATAGTGATGCTTCTTTTTTTAAATCATGAACGAGCAATGAAAACATGAGGGCACCGTTTCTTTCAGTTTTCAACTCTATGTTGCGACAACACTCTGGTTCATGTGTGGTTATGTTTTGGCTTTAAATACCCAGTTTGGTCGCTACAAACACTTCAACTCTTGTTAAAAAAAAACACCCTCTTTTGTTGGTGTAACACTGTTGTCTGTTGCTGTCCTACTTCACCTAGGTGTCTCGCCATCCACTGGCCCAACCTTCTCCTTGTGAGAAACTCAGCTCATATACATGTAATCTGATCTACATCATAAGTTTGAAACGCACAAATAAAACGTATCGGTGGTTTGCAGAAATGTACAATGCTAACATTTTATTTTGGCGTCTGGGCTGTTTCCTGTGACTGACATATCAATGTTAATGCTTCAACATCATTATGACTGAGTTAAAATCAAACCTATAACCTACATGGGATTAATCTTTAAAAACCTAGTCTCTCTATACAGACTCACTGTTTGTAGCCCGCGTGATATTGACCAATCACGTTTGAGCCTGCTGCAGTTGTTGCCAGGTTAAACAGTCCGTGCGGTGAACATATAAACGGAAGCTGAAAACGGAAATTCGCCTCCTCTGCCCAAATCAAACCGGGGATATAGTAGCACTGAAAGCAGATGGTTTTTAGCAAGACATTAGTGCTTTTCCTGCAGAGATTGTGCCCCAAAACCAGGTACATTGAGCCAAAACAGGATCTTTTCCTGACCATAACCAAGTGGTTTTTGTGCCTTAACATAACCACGTTAACCACAGCGCCGTACAAACCCTAAGTTTCAGGATATCAGCTATCATAATGTCCAATTTGCAGAAATGCACAATGCCAACAGTTTTTCCAGACAGTTGGGTTGCTCTCAGACTGCACGCTGTATGGGCATGTGAGCACTGTATTACGATCCATCTGAAGAGCTCTGAATCCATCCTTTAATCAAACTACCACTTCAGCAGTTCTTAGGGAGGGAGGGGTCCCTGTCAGACCTCTCTGTCTGCATGTCTCCACGAACACCTGGTGCCAAAGCGCTGCAGAAACTTGCAGAAGGCTGCTCTGTGTCTATCCAAACATTACCAAAATGACACTGAGAAGTCTTTCATTCCTCTGCGCGATCATCTGGCCGCGTGGAATGGCTTCCAGCTGCAGCTACAGACTACAACATGCCCGGCTCCCCTCCTCCTTGTTGCACAAATCAATGTAACAAGAAACTGGCTCTTCCCATGAGGATGGAAAGAGGTGTGTCGGAGGCGAGGAAAAGACTCACTCCCAACAAATGCATCCAGTCCATCAGAGCACAGGTATTATCACCGCTGACATGCAAACAGCGCGTTAAGCTCTATTGTTTTCATGGTGGAAGGCTTTTCATGCACCTACTGTGCATCAGATCCTGTCCACTGACCCCGGGCGGATTACTGAGGAGCCCATATGTGTCAGATAAGCAGCCTGGTTCACTGCTCGGGCTGTGTGACAGCGGAGACGCTGCGCTGCTGTGCGCGCACTCTCCACTGTTGATCAAATGAAAAATGGGCTTGGCATTTGCGCACAGGCGCCGCATCGCTCCCGATCCCCAGCTGAATCTGCTCCCTGAATAATGCAGGAATATGAACATGCATGTCAATAAATGCAAAACACCGGGGGCTCGTTTGTGCACTGCTTTAGATGCAGGGTTGTGAAATAAAAAAGAGTGGATGTGTGGTGCACGTACAGCGGTGCTAGAAACCATTTAGGCCCTGAGATGCAAGAAAGAAGCGAAAGATCCAGAATAACGGAGCGAAAAAAAGCAACGTGCAGAGCCACAAATACAAATCAAAGCAGACGACACAAAGGAAAGAAGCTGCAGAGCTGGAGCATGTTTTAGAGAAATAACAATGCCTCATTGTCCTGCTAGGATCTTTCAGTAATGAGATTATATATATATTCTGTCGGATTAGTCTTGTTACGCGCGCAAGGACAATCTCCGTGTGTGAGAGGCAGAGACGGACCTGCTCCTGCTCCTGCTCCTGCTCCTGCTCCTGCTCCGGAGGGTGATGGAGACATTTTTGTTTTTGCAGGGAATGAGGAGCAAACACGGTGTGTTGGTGGAGGGAGGGAGGTGACTGCTCCTGGAGCAAAAACACGTTTGTTTCTGTGTGTGTGGTGGATGGAGGATCGATGGAGATGGACATCGCGCACAATTAGAAAAACGCCCTAAACGCGCAACACAGGCCGCAGCAGGAGGATGTGCGCGGCCGTATGACGTGAGAAAAATGTATCTCATTCCTGTGCACGGTATTTCTATACGTGTAACCGCTGAGAGGCCCAACCTCTCCCACCTCATGCAAAAAATATTAAGTGACAAGACGAATGCCGATGGAGAACAACGACGCAGCGTTTTGGTTCAAGTGTCGGCGGCTCGCTGCGAGGTTCCGCTGTCACTGCGCTGACACTGGATTTGTAGAAATAAGAGAAATATGTCGGGTCTTTTCTTACCTGAGTGCAGACAGCGGTGTTGTGTCTTCAGCGGCAGTCGCTCACCGGGCTCACACGGCTTCTCCTCGCAGTGCAGCGGCCGGCCGGAGCGGGGCGCTGTGGAGCGGAGAGGAGCGGTGACTGGCTGCCCTGAAATGCAACCTGTCTGCTCACAGCCACCCAGCTGGTCTCATGGAGGCTGTAAACAAAGAGATGCAACTACAAGCTTCAAATACACTGTTTATTTCATGATTTATATCATTTAAAGATTCATGTCACCACTCACATGTTCATCACATGTTCATGTTTGAATCAGTGATGTCACAAGTATTCAGATCTTTACTGGAGTAAAAGCAGTAATGCCCCAGTGTAGAAACACTATACGTCCTGCATTTAAAACGTTACTTAAATTACGTTACAAAAGTATCAGCAATAAAATCTATTTACACATACCCACAGTAAAAGTAGGGGAGAGCGGGGTCATTTGGGACGTTTATGGATCTACATGAAATAACCTTCCATAACTCGGACTATTGAACAGTGTCTGGTAGAAGAGCTCAAGCCAAACATTACTGGCTCCTCTAAAAGTGTGCTCAGGGTGCAGATTTCACTTTATGATCCCCTTAATTTAATGTGTCATTACCTTTAACTCCTGATTGGCTGAGGAGCACTGCATCATGAGGACAGACCAATAGTGTTAAACTGAGCACAGACCCTCACTAGTTAGTTTGATTTGTGATCTCAAAGACAGTTGTGTGTTCTTCCTCCTGAACCGAGTGATAAGGTCTTAATGCATTAATAAATTCTGAATGCATTTTCTTAAGTGCATTTTTTCCTGAAATGTGAGTCCTTGAAGATAAAGTGAGTAACCTCATGTTTGCATGATCTAAGTTTGGGATAATTGATTTGAGATGTCAGACTAGTGACATAAAAATAATAGTTAGCATGTTAGCCGTTAGCCTAGATACAGCTGGGGCGCATAGTAGCGTCAGACCTGTTAAAACGTAAGTGAACGGGCAACCTTCAAGTGCAAAGTTAGTCCACTAAACAAGCTTTTTCTCCACAAAGACCGCCTCATATCGTTAGGATAAATGTCAGAGAACATATAGAAAACGACATGTAAACGTGTTGTCTTACCTTACCGGTGTGCTGCCATGTTTGTTTACCATCTAGCTCTGCTTTCCAAAGCACTGCTCACGGAGCTCACCGGAGCTGAGAAGCGTGGGGACGTTAGCACTAGTCTGCTGCCATGCTAACGTTCCAACTCTTCTCCATGAGACAGGGTCACGGGCTCCCGGCTCAGTTGGAGTTGGAGCGTTAGCGTGGCAGCCGAGTAGTGTTAACGCTAACAGGAAAGCAGGGAAATTGCTAAACACAGCAGAGACTGAGAGTGAGTGAAAGACATCTCTAACTGCTAAACTAATCCAAACTAAGTTGGCTGTTTAGGTTTTATTTCCTCGCCCCTGTGGCGAGTGAATCTGCCTGCAGTGAAAGCGGGGCTAATCGGTGCTTCCTCCTCATGCTCCACTTCACTCAGCTGCCAGCACAACCAGTTAGCCTCCGCTAGCTGGACTCTCCGTTTGGATCCAACCGGAGCACCGAGCCCTGGTTTGTTATTCAGGTTAAAGTGGGAAGAAGCAGCGGGTTTAAGAAACACTGGGACTGTCTGGATGTGATAGTCCGTGGAGATGCTGCGGTGCTCGGCTGCACAGACGAGGCGAGTGGGGGGGGGTGTTGGAGAGCAGAGGTAGAGGGAGGTGTGGCTCATGACACACTTTGTTTTGCTCTACAGGCAGTGCACAACAGCAAACCTAGCGGTGAAACGATTTCGCTTATTGCCCCTTTAAACAACTGCACAATGGATTACTGGCTTGTAAACAACCTTCGCAGTACGATGCCTTTGAACACGCCAGCCTTCTTCTTCTGCTTCTTCTCTGTGTCCCATTACATTGCAATGGTTTCCTGCCGGTTGGCGACACCCATGTAAAGGAGCATTATCGCCATCAAGTGGGCTGGAGTGTGTAACGCTTCAGGGTCAAACCAACGATCAAGCGGAAGTTTACACACGGGTGTGAGGCAGCTGAAGAAATAGTTCCACAGTCGAGATGCGAAAACACGGATGGAAACCACAGTTCGCTATGATTTGTATGTCAGAATGTTTAGGGTGGCTTTAGGACAGGTTCACACATGGCCATAGGCAGCAGTGTTAAGCCAGGCAGGGGAAAGACAAACTTTCTGAGAAGGAGCAATCGTCACTATTTTGGTCTGAGCCACTCTGTTTCATCATAAACAACCCAGATATGGGGCTCAAAGTGCAAAACACCGGACTGCTCCTTTAAGTATAAACGGCAAATGGGCGTTTTTCCTTACCGCGGCCCCTTTGTTCTTTTTTTTGTTCTTTTGTTAATGGTGTATTTAAACATTTAATAGTGTTTGCTGGGATTTAGCCGGGTGGCTGCTGGGTGACACATTCCTTTAAGAAACAGAAAACATCTGAACATCTCCACTTTGAGATTGAAAGAGAGGAGGGTTTGGCTGAGAATGAGCGTGGTGAATAACTTCAGCATAGCTGCTCTCTACTTGCTGAAACGTCACCACTGTTCCAACTGACCCCGCTCTCCCCTACTCATGATGCAGAATGATCCAGTGATGGACACTTACTATATTTAGTATTGTACTTAATTAATAATTTTGAGGGACTTGTTCTTCTATTCTGATACAATTCAGAGGGAAATATTTTTACTCCACTACAATTATTCCACTGGTTTAATCACTTGTTACTTTTAACAGATTCAGATTAATATAAAAATCACTAACATTCAACAAAAAATTAACCATTAAATAATGATGTGTTTTTGTGGTTTGAGCCCAGCAGGATGTTTGCTCCACCTTTACCAGCTGCTGCATCAGTGACACATTAATGCATCAGTTCTCAATGTAACAGATATTATTATGAATTATTATTTGGGTTCAGTGTTTTCAATGCATTTGTAATATTTGTTATCTTACCTCACTGTTTGTGTCCTCGTCTTCAATGCAGCACATGTCTGAAATAAAAACATTCTGATATCAGTTGACTGTTGACATGTTTTGATGTTATTCATAGAGCTGCACATGAGGAGAAATCTGCCTAAAATAGTCTGGAAGGGGTCAAAGGGCAAGACACAGGAAGACACAGGAAGAAACACGAAGACACAGGAAGTAGGGTTCTGGATTGGAGCAGCTACATGTTATAGGATGCTGATGGAATATAGAGGAGATAAAGGTGTTTCAGCTCTGAGACTTTCCTGGGAAACAGATCTGGGTGATGAACACGAATGTGCTAAGATTTGTGGTAACGCTAGAACAATGTCAGGAGACCTGAGGGTGAAGATTATTCAACTTTAATTTCTGCACTGACTTTATTGGACCCTGAGCAGGATTTTCAGACCTGGCTTAAAAGACTCAGCTACTTGTTGGAAGTGTTTTATGGATGATATTTGAGAGTCTGTCTGTTTTTCCCCAATCACTGAAATACTGGATGCAGACTGCTGTGTCATGATTAGATGACAGAACTGGAAGAAATAGGTGAGTGAATTAGGCAAAGTAGTTGCACACTGTTTGTGATGAATGGGTTTGGGATATGATGAGCATGTGACTTTATTGTGTTTTATTTACTTATTTATTTATTATTTATGTGCTATTATTTCATTATTTATTTTATTGTGTTTTTTTTTTTAATCTTATCATTATTTTTTTTTTAAAGATTATTTTTTGGGCTTTTTGCCTTTAATTGACAGGACAGTGCGAAATGGGGAGAGAGAGACAGAGAGAGAGTGGGGGGATGACATGCAGCAAAGGGTTGCAAGCCGGAATCAAACTTGCGACCGCTGCAGCAAAGCATTGCCTCTGTACATGGGGCGCCAGCACTATCCACTACGCTACTGACGCCCCAATTTTATCATTATTTTTTCATTTATTTCCCCCATTTTCTCTGGATACAGACTCCTTCTCGCTTACTTACAGAATTTTATTTATTTTGCCCCGTCATGTCTCTTTGGTTGTGTGTAGTACATTAATGATTTGTGAGCCACTCTATAGGCAGGTTGACCCCTCTTGGTTTTGGGTGGGATCAGTGGGGGGTTATGTTTTGTTGCTGTGATGGACTGTATGTGTAGACAAAGTGATGTGACTGATCTGAATATTATAAAATAAAAAATTGCAAGTCATAAAAAAGAAATGATCTTTAAATACAACAGCACAGAGTGCTTTAAGCTGAGCTAACTAAGGACACATGAGCGGGAACATTAATAATGGCCGACCACATCAAACAGACACGATGTCAATCAGACAAAAAAGAATAATTAAAAACTAAACTTACAAAATTAACTTGAAAATACACAAATAAAACAACGTAATCACCAGAAGAAAAAGTTGATATTGTACATTTCTGCAAACCAACTACATGTTACATTCAAACACTACAGTGGACACGTGTGTGTTTCAGCTGAAGCACAAACACCTCGGTTAAGGTCAGGGAAAGATCATGTTTTGGTGGCACTATCCCCGCTGGAAACACACTGATGTCTCCGCAAAAAACAGCCGCTATGCATGCCACAATCCTCGAGGGAAACACAGCAACGACTCGCTAAGTCACAACCAGTTCTGTTGTTTGTTGGTCTTGAACAGTCGTCTGCAGCTTGGCAGGCGTCTCACCTCGGTGACACGACACCCATCACCCCCTCCAGATGACAAAGTCAGCCCATACACTATGTCACTTTAGAAATGATTATGACACGTATAAAATGTGCAAATGCAACACACGTACAATACCAACATTGTCCTCTGGTGACTGGGCTGGACCAAAGGCTCTCCCCAAACCTCCCTTGGTGTTTGGTATAGTCAGGTGACGCAGCGTGCAGCAGTCAGTCTTTAACACGGTGAAGCCCAGAGAAAGTGATTTTAAGAAAAAGTCTGTAAAACATAATTAAAAATTAAAAAACTAAATGTCAAATCAAAACTATGTTGGTTGTTTTATTGTGTGACAGTTGCCTGTAACTGACTGTAAATGTAACAGGGTGAATTATACAGCAGCAATACATGTAACAAAGTCAAATATACATTTGTAATATTTAGTATTACAATTACACAGATTTCAGTTGCTGCACCTGTACTGT